CAATGAATGAGAGAGAAGTTACATGACAGTGATGGTAGAATTAAACAGACATCCTCAATAAATCACCCTGCCCCACTGCCCGCTCCAAACAAGGGGAGTTTGATCTCGGGGCCGTCATTGCATCATTTTTTTCCCTAGCTCCGACTCCTTATAATAGAAATTCGACTATTGACTGCGAACAATTGATATTCGATATTTGACATTTAGTTAATGTTTCCACCGCAATCCAATCATGATGGAATGATCTCCAGTATTTCTGAAGCTCCCAAGTCACTCTCACTCTTCCTTCCTTCTCAGGTTCTCCGCAGACTTACTACCTCACCACTAGCCTACTAATTACAATCCTCTCTTCCTCCTCCGACACGACGGCTGTAACATCTCTCAACCTCTCGTTAACACTTTCTTCGAATATTTTCTCATAATCATGTCATCTGTAGGTAAACTTGATATTGGTGTATCATACATCATACATCATTTCTTTTCCTACTATCTAACTCTGAATCAGAGGCTGTTATAGTTACTGTGCACATATCTCACAGAAAATCAAATTAAATTAAAATTCTCACTCGCACTTTGTATTATAATCAGGCTCCCGAAGTTCTCAGACGCACAGAAAGAAAGATGTTAAGACCCACACTTGTGCGAGATCCATAGCCTGAGAACGGACTTTATCCTCCAACATGGTGGCGTATGGTGTGGAAGGAAGAAGGGGGAGATAGTGTGAGGTAGACGATGCGGTCACTTTGCGGCCTTTGGTTATCTCCACTCGGGCATGTAAACAGCATACAATATGTAATACGAATGCAAACTATTCAAAAGAACAAATACCGGAGTTTGTGGAATTATCCGTCGGCGTTGCCTTTTATGACCGTATGAATGGATCACAAATAGCTTGAAATACGGACAGCGAGGGGAGACTGGCCAATAAATCTGTGCTTCGATGTCCTCTTAGTAATCCTTGTGCCTATAATTATTACGGACAGTGTTCGACTCCTGACACACGCACCGATCGGTAGGCTATTATACAATGCACATGCTCTTTGAGCTCTAGCTTGCAGGCTGGATGTAAATATTTACTGATACTTAAATAAATACTTCCGGATGTCACTAGTCATTATTAAGATCTACCTGACACTCGTACTAAGTTATATCATTGCAAACGAGGACGTCAAATAAATAATCAGTTCTCATTTCGGAAACCGGTAAATCCACGCTCAGCCACGGTACCACGTTCCGAATACGTACACTCTATATATACGACCTGAATTCCGTCATCCAAGCCAAACGAAACTGTCGTTCGGAGCAGCTGATTGTGTCAAGAAATGATTATCCAGCTTCAACTGATGATCAAAGCATCCAACGTCCTTCAGAAATTGATGGTGGTGTGAAATCCATCATGACGTCCTCCTGCCAAGTCTGCCACCAATCGCGGAAATCGACACATACGGAGCGAGAAACGTACTGCCCGCTATAGCAACAAATGGAAACAGACACGGAGAATGAAATCAGCCCTCGCCTCAAGCGCACCAATCGTGTTCTCCGCGCCACGTGGATAGGCGCACAAGACACGTTCCCACGTCCCCTAAGACCGCCAACGACGACGGTGCACGTCCGCACGTCCGCACGCCCGCACACTCGGCCATTGCACATTGCATGACAACAACACTCCCAGGGACATTCCCCAACAGTCCAAAGCAGCCACCGCGGCGCACAGACTCCCTCTCCTCGAGCATCGCGAAGCCGAAGCCCACCAGCCCCATAATCCAGTCTGCGGACGATGCGAAGGCCGCGAGGGCCCTGCTTGAGACGCCATTGTCGACACTGAAGGCGGAGGATAGGCTGGGGCCGGAGGAGAGAGAGAGGCGGCGGGAAGAGAGGGAAGGCGAGTTGGTGGATATGTTGGCGAAAATGACGGGACGGGTGGAGGAGCTTGTGAGTTTGCTGTGATGCTTTGCTCGGGGATCTTGCTAATGTTATGTGATTGTTAGGGCGGCCTGTTAACCCAAGCGTACAAGAACCAAACCGACCTCGAAACGGCCCTCACGCTCACGCGGTCAAATCTGCAGCTCGCCCTCGCGAACAACGAAATGCTCGAGGACGCCCTCAAGCGTACAGGCGAGAACGGGAAAGACGTCGGCTGGCGAAGATGGAGCGAACGTGAGGACCTCCGAAGATCCAATTCGCTGAAGGACCACCATCCGACCCGCTCCCTCGATACGACGCCCCCTTCAAGTACTCCACCGAGTACGAGCTCCCGCTTCTTCAACTTCACGTCGTCGTTCCGATCATCCTCCGCTTCTCCGTCTAACACATCTCCTACTACATCCACCATCCCGAATGCCGCGAGTTCGGCTGACTCGCCTGCTGCGTTCAACCCCACCCCAGCCTTACTCCCTCCGTTCACCGCTGGCCCCAGCACCGCGTCGGGATCAGGAAGCACGTCACCTCCGCCTCCACCGCCTCCACCGTCAGGCCCGACTCAAAAGGAGAAGGAACTGACTGCGGAGGTGGAGAAGCTGCGAACGAAGGCGGACGAGCTGACCGCGGCGAAAGAGCAGCTAGAAGACGAGCTTGAAAGCCTAAGTCAGGCGTTGTTTGAGGAGGTGAGCATTGTCATCTTACACTTCATCTCTGTTCACCACTAATGAAGCGCTTTAGGCAAACAAGATGGTTGCCGACGCAAACCGCAAAGCCGCCGAAACAGAGGAAGAGCTCCGCATCGTCGCAGACCAGCGGGACGCCCTCAAAGGGGCCATGCGCATCGTCGAGACGGAGAATAACGCTTTACGCTCTAAACAACAAGCATCATCATCATCACCATCACCTACGACTCCAGGAGGAGGCCAAGTCCTAACGATCCAACAACGTACCTACCCCACCACACCCACACCTGATTCAGCGTCTTCGATATACAGTGACGTCTCTACCCCGCGCGCTGTACCCAACACATTCACAGATCCCACCGCCCTCTCATCCCTATCCATCCCAACGCTAACCGTAACACCCTCCGAGCCCACTTCCTCCTTCTGGAGTCCGACCTCCCCCGAGCCCGACTACTCTCCATCCGGAACACCCTCGCCCTCCGTATCGATGTCTAATTACACCCAACCGTCTGCGAACCCCTCTAGGCGGTCGTTCTCGTCGCCGTCGCCTTTGAGTCCTGTAATGGAGGGAGGGAGTGAACCGTCGCCGATTCGAGAGAGGGAGGACTCACCGACGATACCGGATGGTGTGCAGATACCATCTTTCCAGGTGCATGAGGCCGAAGTGGAGGAGGGACATGAGGCGGGAGCGGGACATGACAGAGAGGATGATGAGACGAGCGAACATGACGCAGGTCAAGACACCCTAGGCCCCCACGGACGAGAAGGAGAAGGACGAAAAGGCATCCGGTGGAGCGTGATCCCTAAAACTCCCCGTTCACGCGTTGCGGTGCGGGAAGAGTTTGAGGAGGCGTTGAAGAGGATGCGGGGGCTGGTTGGGGATGAGGGCGATGAAGATGGGGGCGAAGGGAGGGAGGAGGATGAGGGTGAGGGACAACCGTCACCACACATAACTTTTGCGCCATTAAGCGATCCTGAGGAGGATGATGGGCCGAGATGGGATGAGGTTGTGAGGGGGATGGATAATGGGAGAGGGAACGGGAGTGAGGGCGAGGTGGAGAGCTATGTGGGTGTTTGAAGATATGGCGAATAAATTCATACGCCGTTTCATCGCAGGTCTGGAGTGCCTGATCCTAATGAGGTCGAGGAGTCGCTTGATCATGACAAGGACGAGGACGAGGCCAGGAATGCAAGATGAATGTCACGATTGGCCCTCTGAGCTCTGAATATTTTGACGAGTGGCGAGGGGGATGAGATGGACCGATGGGAGGAAGAGCTGTATGTGGGCATTTGATTTGCATGACTTCCAGGACACACTAATGGATTATGTATCTTATTATTGCTTCATTCGGAGTCGGATTGCGCTGAGTGTAAATCACCCATGTTAAATCTCAAATGTAATGGCAGATATTAGTTAATTATAATTATAATTATAAGCAGTTCCGAGCTATATAGGAAAAGAAAAATGGATATGATAATGCTCTTGAGGACGACATGATTTAATAGGATAAGGCCGAGGATGGAATTATTCGAGCGAATTACGGTTGAACCTAAATGCCAAGTATTTGCAGTCAAGAGTCAACTAAGTATAAGGATTTCAGAGCTAAGGCCGACATAGCGTATGAGTCTCATTGGAAGTAATTATGCGGGATTATTTGAAGGGGAGGGGGATTACCAACTGAAATTGAACGCTGGAACTGAATATACCCTCGTTTGTTCACTTTAAATTTATACGATGGAAGAGTCCTATGAAGATGACATACCAAACATATTCGATAAACGTGTTTGTCGTGTTCGGATGGGGGAAGTGTGCAGCCGTGGCGCCACTGGCACCGATATGTCAAGTGCAGAGGGAAGTACTATGCCAAGCTAAGAAGCACCTATTGTTTAACGATGTCATGCAATAAATACAGGGCCGAGACCATATTATTATTGGTATCCTACGTCACATCATTTCTTTTCTCGGATCTCTGAGTTCCTTTCCTTATATTTGATTGACTGCGAACCCGACATTTGACATTTAGGTTCATTCATGCCAGTGATCAAATCTCACAGAAGCGAGTAACTATACATACAAATCATTAGTGTGTTGAAAACCCAATATTCAGTCAACTCAAAATCAAATACCTACATCCTCGCCTCGGATTAGTCCCACTCACCCTCCTCGGAAAATTATCATCCCACTTATCATCCCGGGACCCTCCCCAAGTCGAAAAGCACGACACTTCTATCTCATCTTCCAGATCCCAATCCTAATCATGTCGAGTCGCTAAGGGATTCACCACCCCGCGTCTGAATTCGAATCCCGAATGAAATAGAAGGAACTAGGAGTCAAGGAGCGGGGATGAAGAAGAGACATTTTTCAACACCCCCAGTATCCATGATGAAAAAAATGGTAGCCTCACGCGGGGGTCGAACCCACAACCTTGAGATTTATTATGTAGCAATACTGTCTTCATATGAGGACTAATCATAAAAGTCTCACGCTCTACCGATTGAGCTAGCAAGGCACGTGGTCTATCCAAAATTTAGAGCTTAAGGGAGGGGTACGGATAGGTAAGGTACTGGGAGTCGCTTTTGATATTCACTTTTTAAGGGAGTCTGAAACGGAGCTGCATGACAATAAGAAATGTGGGTAAATGAGACGAGCTCGAGCTCATCCGTGTCGTTATATTTAGTCTTTTCATATGTTCACCATAGACTACGCTACGAATCCAGGTATTTGTTCTGCAAGTATTGCGCTTTTAATAGATGTGTATTGTATTCTGGGTACGTGCCCGAATGGCGATAGAACAAAGGCCTGCAGGTATAAAGCCCAGATGACTAAGCACCTCCCACTATCATCTTCCTCTCCTACTTCCATATATCCTCCTGTGGTTAACATGTCCGAGTCGACAGTCAGTTCTCTTATGCTTAGTACATGTCCGAATTGACAGCCAGTCCCCCTATAACTGTCATCATTATGGCCGAGCCGTCCATTGGCGCAATCAGATCTAGCGAGCTCATACTGGTTATAACCTTGGTGTCCCTGTCTCCGTGCCTTTGGGATTATTGCACAGGATATGGAACGGGTGACACTGCCACCTTAACAGATGTCATGCCACATGGTGACACCAATACCTTAATAAATGTCATGTTATCCTGCCGGATTACTTACATATATATTAGGTCCCCCTTCAATGACATAACACTAGACATGCCATAGCATTTTCCATATCATTTAACTTTACTGTCGCTGTCATGTAACTTCTCTCTTATTCATTGAGTAAAGCATGCTGGCCATGCCAATCTCTTGGACTGACACCCACCGAGGCTGCAATAGGCAGCAGCCTTTCACATCATGTGTGGCAAAAATCGAAATTGTCTGAAGTTGCGTTATCAGGTCATATCAGGCCTTCAGATTGACACCGCCTGATAAGATGATTAGGCTGAAGAAACTGATACGGTGTTCAGGCAAGGTATACCTTTTGGGGGCTGTTCAGGCCATTCCGATCCAATTAAAAATAATAATAATAATAATAATCACACTGGGAATATGTATGGCAATATTTTATTGGCATATAAGTAGGGGTACATATGTACATACTATCTACTGTAGAATAGAAACCAGAAAAATGTGCATTTACCTTATGGTGTCAGCAATAGTATTCCTATATGCAATGGTTAGTACATGATTATATAGAATGAAGTATACAAGACTCACCATTAGGCAGCGGGCCTGCAAATCCATGAGTGGTTGTGGGATGAGGGAAGAGCTGTGGGGCAAGACCGTATGAAAACGCCGTTCTTTTATATCTGAGCAGACGCCCAGATGAGTGGAGTACTGAGAGCGAATAAGAATCCGAGTGGGGCTACGCCCCACTTGCTTTTACGAGCACAATCTAATTTTAGAACATGGCGCATACCACGTACATGACATTGTCGATCTCTTCTCGTATTTCTCTCTTTCTCTAACCTTTGAAAATATGAAGCATTATATCATACTCAAGAAGCCCGAAACCCGACATACTTATCCCCAGTGTCGAATCCGTGACCGAGGTGATGGGAGCCCGAGTCAGAACTCGAGCAGACTAGACGGAGCAATTGAGTCCAAGTCAAACAAATTCTGTCCAGTGAGTTGAATACTACCCTTTATTGTCAATAGCACGATTGATAAACCTGTTCAGGGAGAATTTAAATCTATCGGACCGCCTACGGCACATTTCTCTGGCCTTGTAACTTTGTCTATCAATCTGCTGTTTCTTCAGTTCTTCAATGAATAATCTCACTTTACCAATGTTCGAGTTTGTGGCAAAGAACACGCAGCCATAGGAACCGCTCATTCACCTCAGGCTCAACCTCACATGTACTATGCTACAGGAAGAAATTGAGAATGATGGTGAAGAAGCTACGAAGCCTGTGATTGAAGGATCACTGGAGCTTGCAGTTGTCTTTGCGGAGAATTTCTGCTCAAGAATTAAGACACCTCAAACTGGTCATTCTGCCTTCAAGTTCCACCGCAGCTTTGAATACAAGTTCAAGTTAGACAGCATTTTTAACAAATTCCTCTCTGCCGCTGATGGGCCCCAGCAGCCTATTCTGGTATGCTGATCATTCATCTTTTCATTAGCAGAAATGACACAATGCATATAGCTGAAACCGTATCAATGCTTTTTCTTCGCTATCGCTCTCTCGAAAACTGACAAGAGCACCAAGATATACTCCGCTGCAACTTGAACTTTTATAACAACCCCGGTATGAGTACGTGGTCATTAATACCGAATCCATATCCTTTGCACATATTTATGAACTATTCTCATGTGAGATTTCGTCAAAAACTTGTTATGACATTGCCCTGATTGAGAAATTTCAAACAAGCTCTTGGAAGCTGAAGACAAGATATATCGAACCCATGTCCTTTGCACGAATTTATGGATTATTCTCATGCGAAACTCCGTTGAAAACTTGTCATGACATTGCCCTCATTGGGTAATTTCAAACAAAAAGCCGAAGATGGGATGAGAGGGTTGCAGGATATTTGAGGAGAAGCATTCCGATTTTGTTTTCATTAAATATCTTATTTGAGGTTGCCATATGGTTCCAACTTTCGAAAAGTCAGCAAATATTTTCACTTGAATGATCATGTGGATGGAAACACCTTTTTGGAGTTTTTCCTTGTAGATAGACTGTCACAAACTGAAGTAGAAGGTTGTTAATACCAATAAGTATCGAATTTATTTAAAATTCTATATTTTTTTGACACCACCCTGATATTGGCCTGATTAAGACCTGATATTAGCCTAATCTGGCTCCCTTACCTCCTGATAATGCCTGATCAGGAAAAACCGATTTTTGCGACATTGCTACATGGTGACACCGGTACTACCTTAACAAAAGACATACCAGTGGATCTCAATGTCATAATTTTAACTGTCAATGGATGGATATTGTACACTGCACAGCAACCTTCAGAGGAAAGCTTCTTACTGGGAGGGTTCTGGGAGGGTCTTAGAAAAGCTATGTCAGAGTACTGGAACATGGAAGTGAATCTGAATCTGAATCTGGATAGAAATCCACAATAGAATGTTGTTAACATTACTCGATTATCGAGAGGAGTCTGATTGTTTTGTGTTGCTAAAGACCCTCAGTGCTCAACCAAATGTTTTATAATGAGATCATAGATCATAGCCTTCCAGTGATGCAGAAAAACTTTGAGGCAGAGAGCAAAGACATCCCTGAGGAGCTGAAAGCCTCCATTGCGTGCCTCGATCTTGAAAATATGCACCCAACTACGGAGGATATTGGACCTTCTTTGATTCCTGTAAGTTTGACTGTTGTTCATTTTTCAAGAGTCAAATACTTATTTTATGATTTTTCCAGCATCCAACTTATTTATAACCGAAGAAGATTATTGGAAAGATAGTCAGGAGTATACTTGGGGAGGAACTTTACAGTGAATTACAAGCAGAGATAAAAGGAGGAGTTGAGCTACCTACAATGTCGGGCTCCAAGTCGGTTCCAAATTGATAGAAAGTTGAATTAACTTGGTGTTAATCATTTGAGATATATAATAAATAGTGGTGACATCCAGTATGTATTAGTATCAATAGGCTTACATGACTTAAATATGCCAGCTAGAAGGGAGGGAGAAGCAGTAGGAGGATACCTTAAGCTTAACGAGACCTGTGTCGCTGCGTGTGAAGGAAATTAATGCTGGTCAATTATTTCACTTATAAAAGCTCGACAATCTACTTTATTACTATTTATGCCTAAAGATACTCTATTTTCAAGGGATGCCGTCTCGATATTTATGGCACAATAACATCAATTGGATATAGTATGCATATCATTCTCATACCTAACGTAATTACAGGACGGAATCCAAGCGCAAAGACACTCAAACAGTTCGTATACTACACTTGATATGAAAGATAATAAATGTCTAGATATCAGCGGGAATAGAGAGAATACGTTCTTCGGCTGCCTTTGATCGCGGCTTGATGGTACATTGGTAGTCAGTTGGAGATCTAGAGAAACCGTGGCAGTAAGCAAATCATGACAGGGAAGCGTTTAAGCAATCACATACGAGAAGAAACCTGAGGTCCGCTCATATTCTGGCATTACTTCCTGTCCTGAACTATCTCTTGTGGGCGTTATGTCAAAGTTCTGTAGGATAGACGCGACTGCGATGAACAACGAATTTTCTGCCATGTAACGTCCGGGACACACGCTAGTCGAAGTGTCGTCAGAATGAAGTTCGTTCAGTTAAATAGCTAAATGAATCCCTTACCGTCTCCCGTACCCGAATGCACCTGTTTGTCCTGGATCGCGTCTTCCTGGCTCCATGAATCGTCCGGAATCAAACTTCTCCGTATCAGGTCCGAAATCAGCCTCTTCATGAAGCAAAAACCTACGTAATCAATGAAATTGAGTTCTGTGTAGCCATTATGTAGATTCCTAACATACCAAGAATTCCCAAACACGATAGCTCCCTTAGGAATGAAATAACCATCGACAACATCATCTTGGGTGGCAGCATGAGCGACACCCAGCGGAAAGAGAGGACGCCACCTCATTGTTTCTTTATATGTAGCTATAGTATATGGAAGTGCTGCCATATCTTCGAATTCGGGTAATCGAACGCCTTCGAGCTGTGGAAAGATTGACCATTTAGATTCTGGGGCGGATAAAGCAAGTTTGGGAATGTATGAGTTGCTTGATCATATATGAGATCAAAGCCCGTCACGGGGCGAAGAGAAGACATTTCAGGCATTTCAGGCATTGCCTTGTCCATTAGTGTACATCACGATAAGCAAAAGCCAATTAAGGAGACGCTGCAACGACAGTCCCTGCGAAGCCATCCAGATAAGGGAGACATAGTACTCAGGAAGGTTGGTTTAAAAATATGAGGATGACTGTCAAGAGGTCCAGACCCAGGTATAAATAGAAGTCTTTCACGTTGCTTCGGCTTCTTACTGGGATGGTTCTGGGAGGGTTTTAGAAAAGCTATGTTGGAGTACTGGAACGTGGA